TGGGAAGCAGATGGGCCAAAGGGCCAAGGTGGTGTGACCCGGGCAGGTAGGGGGTGTAATTAACAACTCTCTGTAGGGAGGGACAATCCTGGGTGCAGGTTATCTTAGCAACAGGTTGGAGCAGGGGCAGGTTATCTTGATAAGGGTGGCAGAAGAGCTCTGAAGGCATTAGCATTTCAATCCCTCTCCAGATTTCTGGACTCACCCAAATTAGCTTCCTTGATCTGACCTGACTCCATTTACCTATCTAAACTGACTGCCTGCCTAATTCTGGCTTCACCACTACTGGTTAGTAGTGAAAAGGGAAATGAAAACAAGTATGTCAAAGAGACATTTGGCCATTCATGTTCATTGTAGCACCATTCCTGAAAACCCCAAAGTGGCATTAACCAAAGTACTCATCAACAGAAAAATGGACTTTACAATGTGCTATATGTACATAATGAAGGATTATTCAGCCTTAAAAAAAAAAAAAAGAATATATTCCTGTCACTTGTGGCTTCATGGATGAAACTGAAGGATATTGTGTTGTCAAATGTCTCAAGCACAGATGACAAAAACCACACATCCTCACTTCTACGCAGAAACTAAAACACACATCTCATTAAAGTGAAGAGTAGCATAGTGTTTACAGGGGCTGGGCGAGTCACGGAGAGGAAGGGTACAGAGAAGATGGTTAATAGGCACAAGGGTACAGTTAGGTAAGAGGAATAACCTCTTAATGTTTCATTGCACGGTAGGATAACTATAGTTGACATCAATTAGTTGTGTATCTCAAAATAGCTACTTGAGAGAATTTTTAATGGTGGCACACACACACACAAAAAAATAAGTTTAATGAATACACCTATCATCCTGATTTGATCATTCTATATTGTATGCATGTATTGAAATATCACACCATGCCCTATAAATAAGTACAATTACTATGTCAATTAAAATATTTTTTAAAAAAGAATAATACCAGCAGCTAACATTTATAGAGAACTTTCAGGTATTTTCTGAAGCACTATACATAAATCAACATATTTACTTGTCACAAAGAAAAATACATGAAGTACCATATTTACTTGTTACAAAGGAAAATCTATGAGGCACAAGTATTATTAGCTTTATCATGTTTTTAAAATGAGACCTCAGAAGAACATAGAGGTTGAGGTGCTTGTCCAAGTTCCTAACATGGGAAGCATTGGTCCTTGATTTTGAACTCTGGCTATGTAGCTTTCTACAAAAAAAACTGAATGCATAGAGATGGGGGTGCATTTTCTTTATTCATTTTGTTTCTTGCCTGCAGCTTTTCTTACAAAGAAAAGAAAGTTTTGTCCATCTTTCATCTCTAAGTTATCTAGCATAGAAAGTAGAAAATACTGTTATTGGTAAATAAGGTTTTCAATGACCTTCTTTTCCATTAATTTAGTCATGATTTATCAATAATGTCTCCAACATTATGGAGACAGTATTCCATAATGTCTCCAACCACTGCCAGGCTGAGCAGTGGTCACACCAGTATTCTGAAGGTTGAACTGGTTTGACGCAGAGATTCTGCTTGGAGTCTCCTAAATAATTGGCATGATAGAGTCGGAGTAACTCCCATTCTGATTTCCTGTTGAGTGACAGGTCAAAAAGATTCAATTGTTTTTAAGATAGTAAAAGGGCCTGGAGTCACAGTGCCAGCCCACAGAAGTTCCTGCCCTTAGAAGCTGCTCAATACAGGTTAAAAGAATGGATTTGTAAATAAATGACTGGATGGCTCACCTTGCACTGGAAAAAATATTCCACCTTTTCATAAAACTCTTTGTGGGATTAATATCTCAGAATCTTATCTTTAAAAGAAGTTTTAGGTTAAACATATCTTTTGTAATCTTAACAATCTTGAGCGTTACATCTAAAGAAAGGCATTAACTTTTAAACCTCCATATTGGAGCATCATGAGGAAGACTTAGCTCTCAGTGTCAGAGACAGACCCCTCCATGTTTTGGGAAGATCTGAACAGCCCACATATACCCAGACACATTCTGACAGACTCACATCCATTCTGAAAAGGAGATTTAACAGGGGCCAAGGATACTGAGGACTTTAGCTAGGAAAACCTCATTACCAGTACTTTCTGAGCATTCTGGACATTTTGCACATGAAGAGTGAGTCAAGGCTGCCCTCACTATACTCAAGAATGAGAGAAATAAAGGTCTCTAGCTACCCCACACACATACCCAGACCTCTCCCGCCAGTGTGTCTGCATGGTATGACACAGTAAAACCACATGATTTCAAGTTTACAGGAAATTCTAGAAAACTGCCCCAGCCAAACTCCTGAGATGCCCTCATCAAAGTGCCAAACATGTTGTTGTTCTCAAACTTCTATGAATTTATACATATAACTTACCTATACTGAATGGATGCATATTGGATATAGATTATTCCAATTCAGAAATCATGAAAACTACTGAGATTTTCTGTAAATATTATGGAATTTATGTTAATTCATTGCAATCTTGAAAATTGTGCTTATTCTTTCACTTTACAGGTGGGACACAAAAAGTGCAAAGAAGTAATTTCATTCATGTTCTTTAGCTAATAATTGATAGAGCTAAAATATAATTCCAGGGTCTGGGGTTGTAGCTCAGTAGTAGAACGCTCGCCTACCACGTGCAAGGTGCTGGGTTAGAGCCTCAGCACCACATAAAAATAAATAAATAAAATAATGTTTTAAAAAACAAAATATAATTCCAGATCCATCTGGCTTCAAAATTTATAATTTATCTTTCTTTCTTTAGTTCCCTACCATGAAGAGA